TAGGGTAGGGGGAGGGAGAGAGAGAGAGAGAGAGAGGAAAAAATACTCTTCAAAGATCTCCCTCTCTCTCTCTCTTAAAGCTGATCTGCTGCAGAGGAGTTGAAGGAGGAGAGGCGAGTGTCGGGGGGCCAGGTCCAGGGAAGCTCACCGTCAGCCATTCAGGAAAGCCATCAAAATAAGAATGGAGAGAAGGTTAAAGATTACACACAAGGCTTGCAAAGAAAAAAAAAATTGCCCCACTAAAAAGACTTTTCTCGGCGCAGAAAGCGGAGGGGTTCGCTGTAGTTTTTTGAAGTCCAGGTTGTGGAAACATCAACCGAGATCGGCTTCGCCTTTTTTTCCCCCTCTTTCTTTCCGCTGCTTCTTCCTCTCTCTCTCTCTTTTTTTTCCTTTTCTTTATTTTGCTGCTGCTTCTCCTCCTGCTGCCGCCGCTGTTGCTGCTGCTGCTGCTCGCTGCCTTGTGCCGCGTCTCCTTCTTTGCAAGTGGGGCTCTTAGCGCAGTTGGTTCACACAACACATGGGGGTGGAGGGGGGGGGGAGGGAGGGGGAAGGGGGAGGTGAAGGGAAAGAGTCAACTCTCCAGCTTAGAGCTCAGCCAGTGATAATGATAAAAGAGGAGAGCAGGAGGAGGAAGAGGAGGAGGGAAAGACGGATCACAACCTAGAACACAGCATCATTCTTCATGACAAAAAAAAAAAAAAAGCAAGACGAGAAGAGACACGGGAGGGACAATCAACCCCCCCCCCTCCACGACCAACCAAAAAAAAAAAAGACAAAAAAAAAAGCAAAAGAAAAAGAACTGAGAATCAAAGTGATCAAATATGCTAAGAAGGGGGGTTAGGAAGTGAATGCGATTTATAGGAGCGGGGCTGGCAGAGTGGTGAGTGCTTTCTCTGCGATCAGCTCACTGAGCTCTCTATATAGTGAACTTTGACACGACTGCTGCAACTTAGCACACGTTACCATGGCGACCGCTCGCCTTATAAGGCAACAGACTGTGTTTGACTGGTCAAAAGCTCCCGGACCTCCCCTCGCCTCTCATTGGACCGCTCAGCCTTGTGCTGGCTGGCATGGCTGCCAAAGCAGGCTGCCCGGTCCTAAAGGGAGAACGGTTCTCGGACAGCTTAGAACGGAGGTGGGGGATGATTTTTTTTTTAAAATATGATCGTTATTATTATATCTTTGCACTTTCCCTTTGCCTGAGTTGCAGGATCTTTCAAAAGAATGGGGGAAAATAAGGCTGGAGACCCAGATAAATATCCATGGCAAAGTGAGACTGAAATAGGCTTTGTAGATCTCAGACTTTATTAACTCTTTGATCAGGCACGAGAAAAAAAAATCTGATCTTATCATCACCTGTAAGCCAGAGAGTTACATTACATGTTCCTGTCCCCTATTGTGGTGATAATGTCATAAAATAAATTCCTAATGGATTTTTTTCGGGGGGCGGGGGGGAGGGTAAAAATAACAACTTCTGTCTTAAATAAGGTGATCGGATGCAATTCTTATAAATCAAAAATTGGGGAAGGAGTGCTTTCAGAATTGATATTCTTCACTGACTACCTTCTCCTTTTTAGGGTTAAAGTTTCGCAGGTATGTAGATTTAACTTTTTAATTGCTCAATCCGCGAAGAGGATGCTGACAAAAAGATAACTGTGTCATTCAGATGCTGTAGTTAAAAGACATTATCATGAACCTTATTCAACATCATTAAAAAAACCCTCTAAAATGGAGTTAGCTGTAAACTATAATTTCAGTATATGCAACCCTAGCTAATTGTTGTGAATGATTATTTGCAAAGGTAGAGATACCTGTATTCATACCATACACATTAGTGAAATGTCTCTGTGTATGCTACATATATATTAGATATACATCTATCAATGTATATAGACAGAGACATCAGTGAATATGGTACTTGATCACAGAATAGTTGAGTATAGACTTCATTGTTTCTTGACTCCGCTGGCATTTCAAGAACCATTCTTTTCATCAAACACCCAAACATAAATTGGAAATAATTAGCATACAAATACACACCACACATGTCTGAATATCTATATATGTGAACACATACCCACACATTTATTCTGAGTTGCATAGTGTTTACAGCAGTAGCAATGATTTAATCAAGTACAGCATATCTTACATTCATTGAGTATGTTGGAAAAATTCAGTGCTGTTTTCCAGAATATGAATTTCTTTTCTTTGATCAGAAACCTAGGCGGGTTGGTCATAACGCAATGCATTTCTAGCTATTCAACTTTATTCTTTTTGTTTTAGGCTAAGCAGAAATTCACGGATAACATACAGGGATGCGGTAGCATTGTGACTCGGTAGCACAATCCCTGTACTATATATGGAGCAACTCTAAATAGGTAACCGATCTAAGTACACAGGGACAATTGTTTATATCCTATTGAACCTGGGTACTAAACACCATAACGGAGATAGTTAGTTTATTTCCCATTGAATAGCTGCAGCAAGCACCAGAACAGACAAACGCATGGATAGCTAGAAATTAATTTTAAAATACATAGATAAATGGACAGGCAGACAGTTACTTCTATACAAATATACACATACATATATTCACAAGTCTGAGATAGGGACTTATACACATATAGTCAAACTAAGTAGAAACATGGGAACCCAGATGCATACAAACTATATACAGGATTCATTGCTGCAGCTTTCCCCCTCCACACACACTTTTTCATGTTGCCACATGCACACCCCTTCTGCCGCAGAAATAATATATGTCTCTAAAGCCGCAGGTGCTGAGATGATTGGAAAGTTGTAAAAAGCACCTAGATTTGACACTGTCCTGTTTATAAACCTGGAATATAATAAGATTCCACCAACAAAGATGCGCGCCTGGTCAATTTCAAAGGCAGGCTGTAGAATTCCAATTGATCATGATGTAGCAATATAAACCCTTAACTTAAATAGTGATCGAGGGGGAGATAGAAAGAAAGGGGTTGGGGGAAGGGACCTTTTACGGTTAAAATGTGGAGAGCTGCCTTATGATTTCCAAATAACTCAGACATTAGGGGTCACACATTTTAGTTGAGAATATAAAACATAGTTGTTGACTGTAGTTTATGTGGCATGTCTTGGAAAAGGTTTCCTCTCTCAAATCTTATAAAGTGTACAGGGATAATTCATCATCTAAAAACATGAACATCTTAACAAATGCAGAAAGAGCGTTTATTTTTTTAACAGCGTCCACATAATGAATAGTTTGAATATGTGATCTACCTATATATTCTTAACAGCTCCAGTATATTCGGATTACTCAAACCATAATGAAGAATGCCCCAGCTTAACTATTTGCTCTTCGAGGGATACAACAATACAACTGTCTATTAGGTGGTTTCCTATTTATTTGAAAACACCCCTGCGATATAGGCTGATGTAGAATAGATGAATATAATGATGAACTACAGCTAATTTTGCTGAATAATATTTGAAAAATGAGCGTATCGCTGATAGATGAAGATTCTAAAATGTCCTTATGGGAGCTGAGTCACAACAGAACAGTCATATTTTGAAAGTAGGATTGTATTATTATTATTATTATTATTTATTATTATTATTTACAAAAAGAATAAATCCCTCCTGCCATTTTACTGCAGATGTAAATGTATTTTAATGAGCGGGGGGGCGGAAAGCTTTATTTTATTAAAATAAAGTTTGGGATAGCGTCCGTGTAAATCTTTAGGAAAGAGGGGGAGATCTGTTTTTCTGGCAGAAACTTGCCTAATAGTCCTCTAATTCTGTATAGATTAAATCGCAATAGGAATACAGCATCGAACAAATACCGAGTTTCACTCTGAACTCAGTGGAAAGCAGTTACGTCTAACAGAATGCAATGAATTCCTCTTCTCCCTGAATGTAGTATGTGTGTGTTTTTCTCTTCCACCACACTGAAGTTCCATGAATAGGGAAAGTGGCTCCTATTGTGTGACTCTGAACTTCCAAGTCAATGCAATTTTTAACCACTGGCTTGTGGTACTTTGAAAATCACCAGGAGCTGTCAGAGTTGGGTCCTCTGAAAAATTTACAGTGCTAAATCAGAGCATATGCTGTGAGAGAGGGAAAAAATTGCTTAAGATTGGAGCAAGTACAGTATCTGTCTGCCCCCTAGTGTAAGTCTCTTATCTGCCTAAAATTCAACTTTAAAAGAAAAGGATCTCTTAAAGGGAAACGACTTTTGGCTCACGTATGCATACGAGAATGAAACTTCTGTGCATTTTAATCTGATTAATTCCTAAGGATTTAAAATTAATTGGCTTGGACACTCCTAGACGGACAGTTAGATTTCTGCATCAGGGTTTCTCCAAGCCCTGTGTTGAATAGGTATTTTTAAGCGGAGGGGGGGGGGGAGGACGGGACTGGTTTGTGATTTTTTTTTTAAATGAGAAGCCATGCCTCTCATGCTTTTGTCAGAATAGAGCAGTTTTGCTGCTTAAAGTCAGATCTGCACCTTTTGCAATAAAGAAGGATAAATCTTTGCCTTAAAGCTGCAGACCAGCTGCCAACCGCACCTTCCGAGGGTGAGTATATATTCCTGCTTCTTACCATTGTACTTGCTTAAACAGAAATTGTTCCTGGTGGGAGAAAGATGGGTTCTCAGCGCTACACATTCAACCTTTCTCAAAATAATAATAATAGTAATAATAATAATTAATAAAAATGCTGCCAACTTCCCACGATTACAAAATTCCGTGCAGAATCCCTAGCACTAAAGTAGGAGACTTGGTTCCCCTGCATCCTTAATAATCAGTTACTATAACAAAGTAGAATTAGTCGGTTACTATAACAAAGTCCCCTTT